CAAGTGGCTCAGGCCAAGCAATGTTCCCCTGAAGGAAAGGGAGGGTGAAGCAGCTGTCCATCACGTGTGGCCTCTGGTCATTCACAACTGCTCCAGCCCCCAGGGACTGGGAGGGGGGAAAGATGTGACGTTTGTTTCTAAGAAGGGCTAGAGGGGAACTTCAGAGAAAAGCTGACTGCTGGATCTGTTGTGTGTCCTGAGTGTCTGTGCAGGGCAGGGTCTGTGGGCAAGGGAAGCTCCTGCCAAAGGGCCCCCAAGATTGGAGCAGCACTTCATAGGGACTCTGGGCTCATAGTGCCCATGCTGCTTCCCAAAAAGAATGCCAGCCAGCTTTCAGCTCCGATTTTAAGGGAACTGCTGGTCAAGAGAGGAGGTCCTTACATGGCTCTGTAATTAGTATGAAAACAGGAAGGACGGTGTAGGAGTCAGCAGTCCATTTTTGCAGTAAAAGGAGATCTCTGCATTGGTCCCATGTTTTTTCAACACGCTCGTGACCTGAAAAAGGGAATGAGCAATGAGATGTCAGGGCTTTGATGAGGTGATTGGATTACTCAGGTTCACAGGGACAAGTGCCAGCTAGGAAAGAGCACTGACAACAATTACAACACCAGGCAGTAGGCAGATGAAATTCAGTATAGATTAATATGAAGTGATAGATGAGGGAGGGAGAGAAAAGGCCCCAAATCCACAAACAAGACTGTGCTCTGAGCTGGCCACTTGCAGCAAGGCCTGGAGCTATTTCAGATGGCTTGGTGTGCATAAAAACACAAATCGAATCATCTTTGTGAGTGATAAAGCAGAAAGAAAGAAGGAAAGCCTTGTGCCACTCTTCAAATTGGTGTCTCACCCCTGCACAGTCCCTGTGTGCCCCGGCACCAGCATCTCTGGAAGAGCTAAAGGGAGCTGGGGAAAGTTTAGAGAAAAGCAACAAGGAGGACTGAAGGCGTGGAGCCATGCCTGAATGACTAAGTGAGCTAGAATTTCTGTTTGGAAAATGTGCTGTTGGGTGGATACAATCCAGGTCTGTAAAGCCGCCACTCCAATGTTCATCCACCCTTTGATGTCGAGGGTGAGGGAGCCTTGGCTGAGGCCCTGTGTCCAAGGGGAGCTGCTGCCCCCTCTCAGAAGCTCCCGAGTTAAAGGGGGAAGTCGTATTTCACAGAAGCGAAACCCGCCATGGGCTGCAATGCGCGCGAACAGCATGTCCCTTGCAGCTCAGAGGCTGGGGAACAGTTGGGGAGTAGGTCTATGCGTGTGCCACTTTTACCTTTTCCTGGCATCTGCTTTTTCCTCTGATGGAGACCAGCCTTTGAGCCAGATTGGCCTCTGCTTTGACCCCAGGTACCTGCCTGCCCTTATTTTGGGAGGGTTTGCCTTTATCTCAGCACCGCGGTAATGGTGCACAACTGCACACACTCATACTTCTTGTGAAATACAAGCATGTGCCTCACAGCTGGTGGCTGAAGGTGGAGGCGGGCAGGACGCTGCCCAGAAGGCTGGTTCCCTGGACCCCTGGCACAAGGTAGGAGGATCCGTGGGCAGCGTGGTCAGAGTTCAGGCACGCACTTGAAATCTCATGAAATGGGCAGTCTTGGAGTGTTTCCCATCCTCCAGCAGCATAATGGGCATCAGAGCTTCATGTGATTTACATCCCTGTGCGGGGTTGTTCTGTGCCTTCAGGTAAACCTTGAGGGGCCTCCAGGTCACCCTTCCTGCCAGGAGGACTCTGGTGTGCCCAGTGGACAGGCAGATGTAGGGGATGGGGTGTAGGTTGGTGAGGCAACTGGCCCTGTCCCATCTTGGACGTACTTGGAGGAAGTACTGACCTTATGCCTGCAAAGTGATCCCCATACAAGTGGTGTCAGGAGGACATGAGGTGCTTGCCACTGAGTCTGCTGGCAACCCCTTGGCTGGGGACAACAAGGACACTGCTACACTTGGTGTTATGTAAAGGGCTTTTCTTGAAAGAGCTGGTGTTTCTGGATATAAACCCATAGCATGCCTACATAGCACCATGGAATTGTTCTGGAGTGGGAAGCCAAGCATGCACTGTGCTTGCCTTCAGTGAAGGCATCAGGAACATGGGAAAAGGCAATGCATGGAAAGGGAGAGATGGGGAAGTGTCTGAAGCCGGCTGACAAATGTCTCCCTGCAGGTGTGGCTGTCCTGCAGTGCGGGTTTTTCCACAGAGGTTAGGCAATTTTGGTGACAGCTGGCCCTGCTGTCAGCTCCCAGGGCTTGGCTGGCAATGGGACTGTGTGTGGCCCAATACCACAGGTGTCACTTAGCATGTCACGGCCTTTGCGTGGCATGAATTGGCAATTAAAATTGTGCCATCTCTTTTTTGTGCCTGCTCAGAGGTGCTATCCTGTGATTTGTTAAAGCCACTCCTTGTGATCTTGCTCCTTCTGCTTACACATCACTTTTGTGGGGATAAGACAGACTGCTCTGTGCCCAGGATCAAAAGGGATGTCCTTATGCCAAGGCCCCACATTGCTCCTCCTTTTTCCTGTCCCTTAGGATGTGCAGCCACCAAGCTGGTGGCTCGGCTAAACACCAACAGACTCCTCTGGGAGTTGGTTAGAGCTGCGCTGCGCCGGCTGGAGAGTTGGCATCTGTTCCCATGTCCCATAGGGTAGGGCTGCTCTCCCCCCGTGGGAGCAGGGCTGCCACCTGTTGCTGGTGTTGGTTCATGTGACCTTTTCTGTTTTAGGGTTGTTTGTAACAGCCAGCGGCTGGAAGTGTTTCCTGCTGTAATGACTGCTGACCCGTGAACCCTTTGGCAGACACTGTCTCTTTGTGGAAAAAATTAGGAGGCACTTAGCAAAGTGAGATAGAAAACAAACATAGCAGGCAGGAGAGTGCGGCTGGGCAGTGCCTGCCAAGGAGGCTGGGCTCCTGACATGGGGTTGTGGGCACTCCAGGCGGAAGCAGGAGGAGGTGGGAAAGCAGCATGCAGGAATGCTCTGCCCCAGCACCCTCCAGAGTCCTACTCCGGTCGCTCCTGCCCCCCTCCTCCTCAACGCCCCCAGCTCCTGCCATCTCCTCCATGGCACTCTTCCCTTCCTCCCTTCCCTGGACGCCTGGGCACTGTGTGGTACCACACATTTGGGCTGTGTGCCAGCTGTGGTACCTGATACCTCTTCTCCTCTTCCACGGATGCCACTAGACCCATAGGGCTCCAGCCCGTGTGACTTGAGCCGGGACCTGACACTCTAAGAACAGGGGAGTGTGGAAGCAGGGGAACACGCTGCCTTCAAATACTCTGAACACGGGGCTTGCGCTGTCTCTGTCCTCTCTCCCCAGGTATGTCTGTGGGGTCAGTCCCTGTCCCTGTTTCCTGGGGCACTGATGTGACCTGGTGGGGGCTGAAAGAGGGGCCAGGGGTTTGTACAGGCAAGGAGCAGCATGTTGAGGGCTTGCTGGGGACCAGCTGGAGGAGCTGGGGTTCTCCTGCCTCTTTTGGGTTGAAATCTGTTTGCTTGGAGACAAGCAGTGGCCCTGGCGGGGTTTCCATGTGCGATGTGGTGGCAGTTTTGCTTGCAGATTCCTCTGCTAATCCCGGGCTAGGGCTTGGGTGTCTCTTCCCCAGAGGCACTGGCAGGCTGCCGCGAGGGGATTTTGGGATGTTTTCTCTGGAAGCCCGGATGGCTCACAAGGGCAAGGCAGGAGCTGTCATGCTCCCAAGCTGTCTGCATGGGAAGGGAGGGGAGCGGTGCTGCAGATGGCTCTGACATCAACAGGGTGGCACCTGTCGGGTTGGCAGGGCTCTCAATCCTGTGCAGGCGTACTGTCGTCCTGCTCTGGTTTTCCCAAGCAGCCAAGGGGCTTCCCAAATGCCTCTCCACATCCTGCCGGCTATGTTTTGGCTCCATCATAACTCAGGCTCCCCAGCCTGCAGGACCGCACCGCGGGAGGAGGTGATCCGTGTCCGGCACCACACGGGCACCTGTGCCAGGGGACGGGCTGCGCTGCCTTCAGTGCATGCAGGGGCTGGCACGAACTACAGATCCCAGCATGCTGCTGGCTGCCTGCCTCCTCCTCCGCCCCACCTGGCAGAGCGCAGGCAGGGATGCTGCAAGCGGCGGCAGAGCAGGCGGCCGGCGGGCATGTCCCGGGAGGGCCGGGGACACAGCGCCGGCAGCCCCACTGCAGGTGAAGCCCTGGGAGAAGTGCTGGAGCACCTCATGCGGCGCCGCCCGGACTGGAAAAGAACAAGGCAGGCCTGCGGCTTCTCCAGGGCGGTTAATCCTGCTTTGCCCTGGGAAAGGCGGGTCTAGGGAGGGAAGGTCCCTTCTCTGGGCTCCGGAGACTGCATCTCTGGGGTTGTCTGCCGGGAGAGTGATGCCTGAGCAGTGCAGGGGCTCGGCAGGTGGTGATGGTGATGGGAAAAAGGAGTGCTGGGTGCCTGGGAGGGGACAGCAGTGCCAGGAACGCCCTTGCCTTTTCAAGGTGACCCAGGAAAGGGCTGTGAGAGCCCCAGGGAAGTGGAATTGAATGGAAATGGGGGATTTGCATGGTTCTGGACGGAGAGGCTGCTGAATTAAATGTGTCTTTTGTGCTGCCAAGCCTCAGGCGTTGGAGGGAGGTGGGGAGGGCAGGGCAGGGGGGGCAGACACAGCCCACTGCGCACATGTCTCACTCACAGCTCCAGGATTGGGGACACAGAGCTGCAGGCTCACAAATCCTTTAAGAGCCTGCTGTGAGCAGCCGGCATGAGCAGCCTGGGCACCTCAGGAAAGCAGTTTCCTTTTGGAGGGAAGGCTTGATGTGCCCAGCCAGCAGACTAAGGCTATGTATCACAGCCCCTTGGCTGAAGGACTTTGAGCCACAGGTTTCCAAAACTCCTGTGCTGTGCTCTGATCATTTGCTGGGTTGGTGTTTGGCTCCCAGTACTGTGGAGCACTTAGCTGGCAAGATGGATTGGGGTTAAAACCAGTACTGCCCCTGCCTGGCTCGTGTCCCTCACTCTCCCATAAAATCTTCTGTTTGCTTTCCAGACGGAGAGCAGCAACAAGACTTGCTGGGACCTGTACTGACTCTTGCCACACAAGATGACAGCAAGGGACGGACCCCAAGATAGGTAATGCCGGGTTCTGATGTAAGGCGTGGGGGCACATCCAGGGTACTAGGAGGCAAGGGAGGACAAGGAGACCCAGCATCTGGGGGTACGGCCACTCCTGCATGCTCACTGGGCTACCAAGCTGTCCCTTCTCTCTCAGCTTTTCCATAGCAAATAGGCTGTAAACAGTCCCTTGTGCCGGGACACGCCTGGGGAGCCTGACTCCCTCCCACATCTGGTGACGTCTGCTGTGTATCTGGGTGCCACATGCTAAGGAGCAGCCAGCCTTTGTACCGTGTTGGGAAGGGCCTCCCACGGCCCCTCTACAGTGCTACGTCTCCTCCGGCAGCCCAGGCTAGCCGGAGCTGCGGGGCAGGGGAAAAAATATCATCCTTCTCCCTCCTCCTCCTCCTGATGACTCCTGCTGTGGGGCTAGGGACAGTCAGAAGCGATACCTGTCCACTACCCTGCCCAGCATTTCCCTCCAAACTGCTCTGTCCCCTCCACAGGTACAAGGCTGTCTGGCTGATCTTCTTCATCCTCGGCCTGGGAACACTGCTGCCATGGAATTTCTTTATGACCGCCAGGGAGGTGAGGGCTTCCCTCTGTTGTCCATGACACTAATTGTCCCCTGTCATGTTGAAGGACCATGGTATAGGTGTGTCAGCAAGGCACAGCGTAGAGCTTCTCTATTGGCATGCAGGGGATACCAGCATGTGTGACCTGGGTGGGACAAATGGCACTGAGGTGGCAGAAGGGATGAGCGTGGGTCGGGAGGAAGGATAAGGGTGGTCTGCGTGTGCTAGGGGGAGGCCTGGCAGAACCTCAGCCTCACCAGGCTCCTTCTCTTGCAGTACTTCATCAGTCGCCTTAAGGACCAGGAGGAGATGAGCCATGTCAGGAACCAGACCTCCCAACCCTCCTACCTGGAGTCCATGTTTGACAACTTCATGACTCTCTGCGCCATGGTGCCCCTCCTCATCTTCACCTGCCTCAACTCCTTCATCCACCAGCGGTGAGCCTTGCCCTGTCCTTGCCCCTGCCAGCCCCCATAGGGCTGCCCAGCCCTGGCCTGTCCATCCCTGGCCTGTCCTCCTGCCCCAGAACTGAGCCAAGCCACAGCCTGTTCAGTCAGGTCAAAGGCAAAACACCCATCTCCTGTTGTAAGGTTTGGCTGCAATTCCTACAGGAGAGCTTGGTCCCAGCCTCACAGGCTTTTGGAGGGGTGGTTTTTCCTGACTGAGACCCTCTTTTGCAGGATTCCCCAGCAGATTCGCATCTCGGGCAGCCTGGTGGCCATTGGGCTGGTGTTTTTAGTCACAGCAATCATGGTGAAGGTCCCCATGGACCCTCTTCCCTTCTTTGTCTTTACCATGATCAGCATCGTCTTCATCAACTGTGAGTGGAGCAGGGGGGGAAGGAAGGGGGCACAGCCCTATGGCTAGGGTTGATCCCTCTGGGAGGAAAGCATGAACCTCAGTGTGGGAAAGCCAAGGAGAAGGGGGGCTTGCGTTGCCCTGCAGGGCAGGGGCCTTGGCTCCCCACAGAGATGTGGTCCATCCTTGCCATTGGTTTCTCATTTCTACTTATCATTTCCCTTCACAGCCTTTGGTGCTATTCTCCAGGGCAGCCTCTTTGGACTGGCAGGGCTCCTGCCTGCCAGCTACACAGCCCCCATCATGAGTGGGCAGGGCTTGGCGGGCACCTTTGCTGCTTTGGCGATGATCTTCAGTATTGCCAGTGAGTAATCCCTGCCCTGCAGGTGACAGGGCCTTCCCAGAGGACTGCTGTCACAGGATTTGCTGAGGTCATGCTGCAGGATTTCATGAGAGATGACAGCAGGGCCTTACTCCTCTCAGCCCTCATCATCTTTTTCTTTTTCTCCCATCCCTCTCTTCCCGTGCCTTCAGTTGGTGCCCAGCAACCCGAGAGCTTCATTGGTTACTTCACCACGGCCTGTGTGGCAATCGTGCTGGCAATCTTCTCCTACATCATTCTGCCTCGCATGGTGAGACTGTTGTCCTGGTGGGGAAGGATGTGGGGAAATGGGACCTTTGCACATCCCAGCACAAGAACTGTGGCCCACTAGTACCCCACCCTACCAGCCTCCTGTAGAGGCTGGCAGCCCCTGGCAGCCTTGTTTCCGCATGCATGAATGAGTCCTCCATGCTGTCTCTCTCCAGGATTTCTTCCGATACTACTCCATGAAGGACAAGACAGAGTACCGTGTGTACAATGCAGAGCTGGAGACCAAGAGAGACCTGATTAAGAAAGGTGAGGGGCTGAGAGGAGGAAGAGAAAGGAAAAAGAGGAAGAGCTGAAAGAAAGAATGAGACAGAAGGACTGAATTAGATCTCAGTCTGCTAAGCGCTATTTGTGTCTCTCCCTGCAGATGAGAATGGGATGGAGCAGAATAACTCAAAGGTCATCCCTATCCACAACCCTGATGAGAAGCCCTCTGTCGTTGCTATTTTTAAGAAGGTCTGTGTGTTGCCAGCAAGCCTCACCCTGCCCTTCTTTTCAGAATGGGCAAAGGTGTAGGAGAGCATGGGGATAGGAGACCAGCCCAGCACTGGTCCCTTGCCCTGTGTTTGGTACCAGCATCTTTCTTTTGTCTGCCCAGCTCTGGGTCATGGCTCTGTCTGTCTGCTTCGTCTTCACTGTCACCATCGGCATCTTTCCTGCCATCACAGCTAAGGTGTCCACTGTCCTCGGAAAGGGAAACACATGGGGTAAGTGTGCCAGGGAGGGGGCGAGGTACGAGAAAGCTGGGAACAAGCTAAATGGGAGAAAAAAAAGTGGGGCTTGAAGTAGCAGGTATGTGTGGTGGGATGACCCTGGCTGGATACCAGGTGGCCACCGAAGCCACTCCAACACTCCCTTTCACAGCTGGACAGGTAGAGAAAATATGATGAAAGGCTCCTGGGTCAAGATAAGGACAGTGAGAGATCACTCACCGATTACTGTCACAGGAAAAACAGACTCACCTTGGGGAAAATTAATTTAATTTATTACCAATCAAATCAGAGCAGGATAATGAAAAATAAACCCTAAATCTTAAAATGCCTTCTACACATCCCTCCCTTCTTCCCAGGCTTAACTATATTCACAATTTCTTTGTGTGCTGCCCCTGCAGCAGTGCAGGGAAACGGAATGAGGATTGTGGTCAGTTCACCACACATTTTCTCTGCTGCTGCTTCCTCCTCAGGGGAAGGACACCTCCCACTCTTCCCCTGCTCCACTGTGGGGACCCTCCCATGGGAGACAGTCCTTCATGAACTCCAATGTGAGTCCTTCCCATGGGTCACAGTTCTTCATGGGCCACAGTTCTTCATGAACTGCTCCAGACTGAGTCCTTTCCTTGGGGTGCAATCCTTCAGGAACAGACCGCTCCAGTGTGGGTCCCTTGCAGGTCCACAAGTCCTGCCAGCAAATCTGCTTTAGCATGGGGTCTTCCACAGGCTGCAGGTGGATATCTGCTCCACTGTGGACCTCCATGGACTGCAGGGGGACAGCCTGTCTCACTGTGGTCTTCACCGAGGGCTGCACGGAAATTTCTGCTCTGATGTCTGGCTTCTCCCCCTCCTTTTCCACTGGCCTTGGTGTCTGCAGAGCTGTTTCACTCACATATTCTCACTTCTCTCTCAAAGTGCAATTGCACGTGTTGGGTTTTTTTTTTCCCCTTCTTATGTATGTTACCCCACAGGCACTACCACTGTTACTGATGGGCTTGGCCCAGCAGTGGGTCCATTTCGGAGCCAGCTGGCATTGGCTCTGTGAGACATGGGGGAAGCTTCAGGCAGCTTCTCACAGAAGTTGCCCTCGTAGCTCCTCTGCTACCAAAACCTTGCCACACAAACCCAATACAGTATGCCTGAAGGGAAGAGGAAACCACTGTGCATGATGGTTTGGATGCGGACACCAACCTAGCTGCGAGACCATTGCAGACTTTAGTGGGAAACTGGGAGAACCTAGACCTGAAAGACAGTCTCCGTGCAATTGGCATGAGGGGCTGGGGCATGCTGGTCTCATCACTGCCCTTCTCCCCTTTCTGCAGGTCTCTACTTCATTCCTGTCTCCTGCTTCCTTCTCTTTAATGTCTTTGATTGGACGGGACGGAGTCTCACTGCCCTCTTCACGTGGGTAAGTGTGGGGCAGGGAGCAAATGCCCAGGCAGTCTTCATTCCCAAGTCCCTCAGCCAGGGCCCTCACTGGGGCTGCCACCCGTGCCTTGGAGCAGGAAGGAGGTGCAGAGCTGACTCCCGCTTAAAGTCCTAAGCAGAGATTTATGGGTCAGAGCTGACAACCACAGTGTTGTTCTGTCCTCCCACCTCTCTTTCAGCATGGCTTGGATGAGGCTGCCTCCTCTATTTCAGCCTCTTTGTAAACAAACCTTCACTCCAGCTATGCGAACAGCGAGACAGGACGGCGACGGGGAAGAGGGTGAAAGACAGGGCAGCCCAAAATAAAACCTCTGGCCTCAGCATAGGACACAGCTGCTTCAAAGACCCTTGTCCTGGGAGCAGGGCAGAGCCATGCCATATGGGTTACAGAGCTGTCCCCTGCCACATCCCCTTGCTTTCATCTCCCCAGGCTGGGTGAGGAAGGGGGCTGTCCTGTCTGGGTCTTTTCCTGCCCCTTCGCCCACTCTCCAAGCACCATTTCCCCCGTATTGTTCAAGCTGTTTGTTTAGAGAAGGTCTTCAGGACCATGTGCCATAGGGTCTGCCCAGGCCTGACTTCCCTGCAGCCTGGAGCTGCTTCTCCCCTGGCCATCACTGCTGGCTGCCCTTGGCCTTGGCCATGAGCCGCCTTGCCTGGTGTCCAGGCCGCAGCCTCTGTGGTGGGATGATCCAGCAGGAGATGTTTCCAAAACAAGTGTGTGGAAAGTCTGACTGCATGTGGTTCGGGCCTCATTTCCCTGGTTGGGGCCCCACTCACTCCCTTTCTCCTCCTCAAACAGGAGAGGCAGCTGTTGTCACCATTTTGCCCCATAGGCATGGCAGCTGGCCTAACCTCAGCTTCCTCCTGTGCTCATGAAGTGTCCTGTGGCCACACCAGCCCAGCAGCTTCCAAAGCAGCTGGAGGGTCTCTTCTGACCTCAAACCAGTGGGCCCTGTGATCTGCAACCCTGGCACCTCACTGAGAGGACCCCAGACAGAACCAGGCACGTCTCATGCCAGGGGCTGCCTTGGTCCCAGCTGCAGGGACAACACAGCGGGATGGTGTCTCCTTGTTTGTCCCAGTCTCAGTTGTCCAGGAACTCTGGTAGGATCCAAGGAGACTGTAACTTGGTCCATGAGTTTCCCACCACATTCCAAAACAACCCCAGCATAATCCCTTTCCCAGATTGCTGGATCTTGCCCCACTTGGCTGGGGGATGGCGTAGGAGGCTGAAGAGCTGGTTAAAGCCCAGTTTGCAGACACTAAAGTGCCAGAAGGGACTTACCTCAGCCAGCCTTGTCCTGCACAGTGGTTCACTGCATGAGTGTGCACAAGGCTCTCCTGCCTGTGTGCCCATTGCCAGCAAGGGCTTAGCAGTCACCCATAGACCCAGCTCAGTATTTTAGCCCTAGTGCTGCTGCTCTCCAAGTTGTCTGGGACAGGGCTTCCAGACCAGGCAGGACCTCCTTACCACAGCAGGTGGTGATGCTGAGACTTCTTGTAGCAGAGAAAGTCTCTCAGCAACTTTTCCATCTCAGCGGCTCCTTTGCAGCCCTGGCACAGTAGGGACAGCCTCTGTATAGCTCCTGCCGGCATGCCATGGGTATGGGGAATGCCCACTCCTCAGCTGCTCAGGTACCTGTGTTTTTCTCCCAGCCTGGGAAGGACAGCTGCCTCCTGCCAGTGATGGTGGTCCTCCGTGTCATCTTTGTCCCTCTTTTCATGCTGTGCAACGTGCAACCCCGTTACTACCTGCCTGTGGTGTTCTCTCATGACGCCTGGTACATCATCTTCATGATCTTCTTCTCCATCTCCAATGGCTACCTGGCCAGCCTCTGCATGTGCTTCGGGCCCAAGTGAGTAGGTGCTGGGGATGAGGGAAGGGTTGGTTACACCCCCAGATGACAGTTCGGCATGACTCCTGGAGTCTAGCTCTGCCCAGCTCTGGCATCTGGAGAAGGGGCCACAGGCACAGAAGGGAATTGGCACTACCCCCAGTATCCCATCTCCCAGGCTTGTGCCTCTGTATTCTAGAGATGAGGAAGCTATTTGGGCTCTCCGTTTTCCCCACTTGCCATGCAGGGGAAGGGACCGGATGCAGCAGGGATCTGGAGGGGAGCAAAGTGTGGCACAGCACCCACAGCAGGGTGAGCAGCCTTGCCCAGCACAGGTGGCATGAGGAGCCCAGCTGGGGCTCAGCCAGGCAGGATGCAGTGCACAGTGGCAGGAGTTGGAGAGGGTTATCCCTGGTGCTGGGAGCTTCGGGGTTGCCTGCCTGATGCACTTTTTCTGTATGAGTCTGCAGTGTGGAGACAGGCTCTTGGAGCAAGGTCGATTTGCTTTTGGTGTTCCTCTACTGCAGAGGAGCCTCCCATCTCCACTGAACAGAAGGGCATGGGGCACGCATCCTGAGGATGGATCTGACACCTGTTTCTCCCCTAGGAAAGTGCTTGTGCATGAAGCAGAGACAGCTGGAGCTGTCATGGCCTTTTTCCTGTCGCTGGGCTTGGCCCTAGGAGCCGCAGTCTCCTTTCTGTTTCGAATCCTCATCTAGCAGAGGCACACAGAGGGTGCAGGGACACCAAGAGATGGCTCCGCATCCTCCTCCGAGGCCCTGGACACCTCAGCACTGTGGGAAAATAACACCTCATGCCTGTCCCTGCCAAATCACACTGCCACAGCAGACGTTACACCAGGGATGGTTCCACTCCTGCAGGGTTGGCCTGGCTCCTGCCATGCTCGGCTGTGTGACGCCTTCAGGCCTACGTGCCTTCTCCTTCCCCATGCTGTGTGTGTTGTAAGACCCCCAGGATCTCACAGAGGTCCACCTGCCTCCCACGCTGCGTAACTTCCCCAGCTCAAGGCCAGAAGCCATTTTCAGCCTCTTCCTCTCTGACAGAGTGGAAGGCTGGTATCCAGTGTTATTCCTTCTCTTGCCCCCGTCCCCAATGCACCTAGAGACTTGCTCTCCTCTCCTCTCTTCCAAGGGGCCTGGAAATATCCCACACCCCTTCTCTTGCCGGTAAGACTTGAGAACAGGGAGGAGAGCCCCAGCCACCCTCACTATCCCTGCTCTCTGCTAGACGCACATCCCTCTGTGAAGTGGTATCCCAGGGGCATAGACATCTGTGTCCTGCCCACATAAAGACCCAATACCGTGGCCAGGCTGAGGGAGGAGGAGGTCTCCACACCCCACCTTCTCCCACTCTCCTTGCCTCTATTCCCTTTTGTGTTGGTTTTTTTTTTTTTTTGTGATTCTGCCATTGTTTTTCAGCCTCCTGGTTGTATGACAGGAGGTCCCACTGTGGGCTGCAAGAAGAGGCAGCAACTAACTCCCTTCCCACCAAGGCTGCAGGGGGGGAGCCTCACCTCTCCCTTGGCTTTCCTGTCCCTTGTCTGTGTAAATGTGTCTGTACAGTTGCCGTTTTCTATAAAAAGACCAAAACATTCCTTTGGGGGTGTGTGTGTCTCCATTGCCACAGGGGAGAGGGGCTGTGGAGGTGGAAGGGCTGAAGGGAGCAGGCACCACCATTTCCTGGGCATCCTAGGGTGCTGTGCCAGAATCAGATGTGGAAGTGTTGTGTGCATCCCTTGCACAGTCAGGACCAGCTGCAAGGACACAGACAGTGTGGGGGATCATTGAACCATGGAATCATAGAATGGTTTGGGTTGGAAGGGACCTTAAAAAGAGCATGAAGTTCCAACCCCCTGCCTTGGGCAGGGACACCTTTCACTAGGCCAGGTTCTCAGAGCTCCATCCAGCCTGGCCTTGAACACCTCAAGGAATGAGGCATGCACAGCTTCCCTGAGCAACCTGTTCCAGTGCCTCGCCACACTCAGTAAAGAATTTTTTCCCCAATATTTAATATAAACCTACTCTCTTTTAGTTTAATCCATTCCCCCCTGTCCTGTCACTACATGTCCTTATAAAAAGTCCTTCTCCATCTTTCTTGTAGGTTTCCTTCAAGTATTGGAAGGCCACAATTAGGTCACCCTGAAGCCACCTCTTCTCCAGGCTGAACAATTCCAATTCTCTCAACCTTTCCTTGTAGGAGAGGTGCTCCATCCCTCTAATCATATTGGTGGCCCTCCTCTGGACTCACTCCAACAGGTCCATGTCCTTACTGTGCAGGGACCCCAGAGATGAATGCAGCACTCCAGGTAGGATCTCATGAGAGAGTAGAGGGGCAGCATCACCTTCCTCAACCTGCTGGCCACACTGCTTTTGATGCAGCCCAGGACACAATTGGGTTTCTGGGCTGCAAGTGCACATTGCTAGCTCATGTCCAGCCTCTTATCCCCAGGGATGCTGCCCTCAGGGTACACCAAGGGACCACCAGCACCTCTGATAAGGAGGAGATTCACCTGCACATTTTGGGGTGCTATGATCTGCAGCACACCCACCTGGGAGCTTTCCTTGTGCCTGGGAACAGCCAGAGTGCCACCTCCTGATCCTGGCGGGGAACTACAAGAGCCTGCCAGCGGGACTCCCCCCTCCCTCTGGCCCACATCATTCACAGCCATCACCTCCTCGGCATCCCCAGGCATCAGAAACTGGGGCTCGGGCACCCTGATCCCACTTCCAGCTTCCTTTGCTAGTCAGGCCTGTGTGCCCATAGCCTCAACATAGAATCACAGGATTGGAAGAGAACACAGTGGGTCACCTGGTCCAACCTCCCTGCTCAAGCAGGGTTATCCTAGAGCACATGGCACAGGATTGCGTTTAGATGGTTCTTGAATATTTGCAGTGAGGGAGACCCCACAACCCCTCTGGGTAATCTGTGCCCTTGCTCAGTCATCTGCACAGTAAAGAAGTTCTTCCTCAAGTTCAGTGCAACTTCCCGTGCATCAGTTTCTGCCCATTGCCCCTTGTCCTACTGCTCAGTACCACCGAGCAGAGCCTGGATCCCTCCTCTTGGCACCCTCCTTTCGGATATTTATACACACATTGATGAGGCCCCCCGTCACTCATCTCTTCTCGAACTGAGCAGACCCATTTCGCTCAGCCTTTCCTCACAAGAGATGTTCCAATCCCCTCATCATCTTTGTTGCCCTCCACTGGACCTGCTCCAGCAACTCCATGTCTCTCTTTTACCAAGGAGCCCAGAACTGAATACGGCACTCCAGATACAGGGATGATAAGACTTATCTTACTGCTTCCCTCAGACCCTGGAAATACAGCCTATCCAAACTGGTTTGCAATGGGGACACGGACCTGCCAGGCGCTCCAGCCCTGACACTTCCCGTCCCCTCCCTCTTGTCCCCTCCCTTCTCATCCTCTGGGCTCCAGTGCATCCCGCCTCAGGACGGCTGAGCTACACGGCCCACGGCCTTAAGGGGGGCTGCAGGAAGCAGCTGGGGCACTGCAGCCCCCCGGTTCCCTGCTCCAGGCCCAGACCCGGGAAGGCGCCACCGCCAACACCTCCGTGACCTGTGCGGAACGCTCTGGAAGCGTCCCTACATTACCGAACACTGCGTTCCTCCGCGGCGGGGCGCGGAAAATAGTCCCTCACCGGAGCTGCCCGCCGCCCCTCGCCGCGGCGCTCGGAGGGCCGAGGACCGCGGAACCGGGACCCTCCGAGCGCCGCAGAGAGAGAGACAGAGGGGAGCCCCGACCAGAAGGCAGCATGGCGGCAGCATGAAGCTGAGCACTGCGCGCCCGCCCCCACCATGGCCGCCGCTAAACGGCAACGCCAATACCTCCCATATACCATTTATCCGCGGCGCGCTGACGAAGGCCCCTTTAAGGCGGAAAGATATGGCGTGCGGTTAGGCACTCCTCTCCGTGCCTATAAAAGACGGCCGGTGGAGGGGCAAGTCTTTCACCCGTCCCTCAGGCCTCAGACTGTAAGGGCAGAGCGGCGGGCAGGGTGAGCCCAGGGCCCCCGCCGCCCTACCCCCCAGTGCTAATGGCCTGAACGTGGGCTGTGTTTGCCTTGTAGATGCCCGAGAAAGTGCAGCACGATGAGGAGGATGCGGAGACCTTCGCCTTCCAGGCGGAGATCGCCCAGCTCATGTCGCTTATCATCAACACCTTCTATTCCAACAAGGAGATCTTCCTGCGGGAGCTCATCTCCAACGCCTCTGACGTGAGCCCAGGCGGGGGGTGGGCTCCTTCCTCTGCGGGGGGTGCCGGGTTGCGGACTGGTGTCCTGCTGGGGGCGCCCGGAGAGAGGCCGTGTCCTGGGTGTCCTGGGAGGCCGTGGTGATGATCTCCCTCTCCCCTAGGCCCTGGATAAGATTCGCTACGAGAGCCTGACCGACCCCTCAAAGCTGGACAGCGGAAAAGATCTTAAGATTGACATCATCCCCAGTCCCCGGGATCGAACGCTCACCCTGGTGGACACTGGCATTGGGATGACAAAAGCGGATCTGATCAACAACTTGGGCACTATCGCTAAATCCGGGACCAAAGCCTTCATGGAAGCCCTGCAGGTGGGTTGCGTTTGACTGCATGGGTTTCCTAGGGCCTGAGACACAGACTTGCACTGGTGTACAAATACTAATTAATAAATAAATAATAAAAAGGCTTTGCTGCCTCGTTTGCTGTGGGAGCTGTTTGCCTGCCCCAGTATGCTTCCCCACCTTTCCAGCAGCAGGGAGGAGCTAAGGGTAGGGCTGGCTACCTGTTGGCGCTTGCCTGTTTTTCTCTGTGTGCTGACCCAGTTCTTTGCTGCTGTCAATCAGTTGCAGGCATTTTCCATCTCTTTGCTGGTCTTATCAGTTGCTCTCTACTTTTACAGGCTGGTGCAGACATCTCCATGATTGGGCAGTTCGGTGTGGGCTTCTATTCTGCCTATCTGGTGGCAGAGAAGGTGGTAGTCATTACCAAGCACAATGATGATGAGCAGTATGCTTGGGAGTCATCAGCTGGGGGCTCCTTCACTGTCCGAACTGACCATGGTAAGTATTGTACAAAAAAACAAATACATTTTTGTGCTAGAAGCGCCCCTTTTCCTGGTGCTCCATAGAGCTCTGCTGCACTGTCAGTCACACTAGTTAATCCTGGGTATCCTGTAGTGTATAGGCTTGAGGAGCTGGTCGCAGTTGCTCTCTGCCCTTTAATGCTATGCCCTGAAACCCTGATGTTTCTCTCCTCTCCCTGCAGGTGAACCCATTGGACGTGGCACCAAAGTGATCCTGTACTTGAAGGAGGACCAGACCGAGTACTTGGAGGAGCGTCGTGTCAAAGAAGTGGTGAAGAAGCACTCCCAGTTCATTGGCTACCCCATCACGCTCTATGTACGTAAGGAAAGGACTGTGGGGACCCACTGGAAAGCTGGAGGCAAGGGTGGGTGATGTTAAGAGCAGGAACATAGAGAAGGCCCAGAGTATGATCTCTTCCATTCTTTTCTATAGTTCTTGGCTGCTGGGTACTGAGCAGTGGTGCTCCCAGTTTCTTTTGAGGCTGGGGGTTTATTGGACATGAAGGGTGTCCAGCTACGATTTTAGCCTTTGAGCTGTACAGCTGGAGGTCATCTAAACCAGCCACAGAGGAAGGAGGGTTTCCTGCTGCTTGTCTCATTCTCTCAGGCACAGCTTTCGGTTGTATGA